ATTGGTAGGCCATGCCTTCAACTTCCTGGGCTGTAAACTATAGAATTTCCTTCCCAATCCTCTGTGCCCCTCAACCTCTCTTTCCTCCTTAAAACGTACCTCTTTGATCCAGCTTTTGGTCATCTACCCTACTATCACTTTATGCGACTCAGTGTCAGATGTGTCTCAGGACATTTTCTTGCATATAGGAGACTTTATAAATACAAATTGTTTTGTTGGCAAGCCTGATCCTTGCCACTCTTCCTACTGGAGGTTACTTAGAGAAATGCATACGCTTACTGTAGTTTGTACATTGTGATTTGCCATAATCATTGACCTTCAATGTAGTTACTTTCTGTTTAGAGGTTTCAGAAAGAAATCACTAAAGCCTGCACACAGAACATGGTGTCAGAAATGTGCAACTGGAATTGTGTGGATTTTGATGACTGTAAGAGAGACAGCTACCGTAAGAGAAACACCAGAGAATAATTAGAACTTCAGTTTGTACTGCTGGATGAGTAAATGCGGCTGTGAATTTTTCAGTCCTGTTCCTGGGGGGGTGAAAGGTGACTAGAAACAGAACTGGAACTTCTTCCAGATTCAATGGCAAAATTATGAGACAGTTACAATGATAAACAGAAAACTTGAAAATAATAAGAGCAGCAATGCCCTAATCAGTTTTGGGGATAGAGTCCTCCAGGCTACATTGCAGCCTAGACCAAACTGAGGAGCATAAAAGCGAGACTAGAGAAGTTTTGAAGGCATTGAAGACCCATTTTGAATCCTCTGCTAATGTCATTTATGAATGAGATGTGTCTAACATCAGAGGTAAGGAAGAAAGGTTTCCAGAAGAACCAGCAGAAAGATCAAGGTCAGGGAACAGAATGTAAATATTGTGGAACACATCATGTGGAAAAGAAAAGGAAACATGTTTAACATTGTACTCTAACAGCTAGAAGCTGAATCACTTTGCACAATATAGAAAAATATAAAGCAAGTCAATGAAGATGGCTGCTGGAGTGACATCAGACAGTGAATCTGATTAATCACACAACATCATAGATCTTAAGACTGTAAGATCACAAGAAATAGGTGCCGATGGAGGCCATTTGGCCCATCAAGTCTGCTCCATCTCAGTAAGATCATGGCTGATCTGATAATCCACAATTCCACTTTCATGCTTTTGCCCCATAACCCTTGATTCCCTTATAGATTAAAAATCTGTCGTCTCAGCCTCAAATATACCAAACAACCCAGCCTCAACAGCCCTCTGCATAAAGGAATCCACAGGTGATCACCCTCACAGAGAAAAGAATCGTCCTCATCTCTGTCTTAAACAGGTGACCCACAAGGGGCAACAACATTCCTGCATCTACCCTGTCAAATTCTCTAAAAATTGTACATGCTTGCAATAAGTCCCTTCTCATTCTTCTAAACTCCAATGAATACAAACCCAACCTATCCAATTTTTCCATACAAGAAACTTCCTTCTCTGCTCTACCTCCACTGCCTGTACATCTTTCCTTACATAAGAGGACCAAAACTGTTCACAGTATTCTAGCTGTGATCTGCTAGTGCCCTGCCTGAGTAAGACCACCCTATTTTTATATTCCATTGCCTTTTTAATAAAAGCCAACATTCCAATTGCCTTCACAATTACCCCTGAACTTCAATGCTGGCTTATTGTGATTCATGCAATAGGACCCCAAAACTTCTTTCTGCAGTTCTTTCTCCATTTAAATAATATTCAGCTCTTTCATTGTTCCTGACAAACTGGTTGGCGCCATCTGGTCTACAGGTAACAAATTGTATGTCACTGTTAGAATCAAGACTACAGAAGGGAAGCATCAAGTGGACATGAGGTGCCAGATGTACAGCTGTAGTTTATGCAATATCAGTAGATTTGTAGACCTTGTGAGGTGGCTGAAATTGGTGACCCAGAAATGAAGCCATCACAGGTATAGGTAAGGCTCTGTGTTGGGACGTAACTCATTCCAAGAAGATCTGCAGTTCCAGACATTGTGATGAATGAAAGTGGCCATTAAATCATGCGTGAAGAAATCAGACACTTTATAAATGATTGGAGATTATGAATGGTGCTGAATTTCCCAATCAAATGGAAAGGCTGAAGCAACAATGGAAATAAAATATGAAATAGATCCAGCTCAGATATGCACAAGGCAATGCTGGAGTGGAGAAGCATGAATACTGAAGGTATGGAAAGCAGTCCAGTCTAGTGACTAATGTCATGCTCCACCCAAACTATTCTATTAATAGCTAAAAAGCAACTGAATTGAGAACTGCGAACAGGAGTTAGGGATAAAATCAAAATGAAACTGAAAGCTAAATTTCACTTTCACTTTGTTAAAGCTGCCAAATTATTGCCAGAGCTGTAAGTTGGAGTGCTGGTTAGAGTGCAAACATTTAACACTCTCAACAAAAAATTGCCCACTTGGCAATTTAGGACCTGTTTGGTGAAGCTGTTGTCTTGGTCATCTACTTGCTGAACGTGAAAGACCAGATATATTATCACAATTGCAGACATCTATATACAAATGTGGGAAGCTGCTCCTTCATAGCAGATAGCTGATGAGGATGGTATGATATGACCAACTGCACAAGTAGCAGAATAGACCATCAGTCCCAGGGGTCACCCCTTGCCCAGGAAGGGTAATGGATCAGGAACAACAACAGCAATTACACTTGCCATGGTAACAACATTCCCTGGAGATGAAACATCACCCCAGGAACCAGCAGACACCAGATGAGTAGCAATCAACAACATGCACAAAAAAAATCATTAGAGGACCTGAATGCTATAAAGGTTATTTACACAATGCATGTGCAGTACAGATGAAAGTGGAACAGACTAGAATGAACAGTTTTTGACCATGGGTGATGGTTTTCAATTAGACCATATACATTGGGAAAATTATAGTGCATACTTTATTGTTTTTTATTAAAAGAGATGCCTCATGGTAGGCTGCTGTAGAAAATGAAGTCACACAGGATCCATTATGAGTTGGGAAGTTGGATACGAAATTGACTTGATGATAGAAGATAGAGGATAGTGGTGGAGAGGTGTTTTTCTGACTGGAGGTCTGTGACCAGTGGTACTCTGCAAGGATCATTGCTGGGATCTCAAATACATATAATTGGATGAAAATGTAGGTGGTCTGATTAGTACATTTGCAGACAACATGAAAATTGGTGGAGTTATGGATGGTGAGGAAGGTTGTCAAAGGATACTGTGAGATATCGATCAGATGGAAAGTTAGCAGAGAAATAACAGAAGGAGTTTAATTTTTACAAGTGTGAGTTGTTGTATTTTGGGAGGTCAAATGCAAGAGCAAAGTATAGAGTAAATGGCAAGACCCTCAGAAGCAAGTGGATATGGTGGTGAGAAGGCATATGGTATCGATCAGGGCATTGAGTACAAAAGTTGGCAAGTCACGTTGCAGCTGTATAAAACTTTGGTTAGGCCACGTTCGGAATATTGTGTGCAGTTTGGTCACCACACTATAGGAAGGATGTGGAGACTTTGACAAGGGTGCAAAAGAGGTTTACCAAGATGTTGCCTGGATTAGAGTGTATTAGCTATAAAGAGAGGTGGATAAACTTGGTTGTTTTCACTAAAGCATCATAGGCTGAGGGACGACCTGAAAGAAAGTATATAAAATTATGAGGTGCCTGGATAGGGTGGGATAGTTGGAGTCTTTTCCCAGCGGAAATGTCAAACGCCAGGGGGCATAAGTTTAAGGGGAGAGGCAGAAAGTTGAAAAGAGATGTCTGAGGAAAGTGTTTTTAATAGAGGATGCTAGTGCCTGGAATATGCCAGGGAAGTGGATACAATAGCAATGTTTAAAAGGCATTTAGACAGCCACATGAACAGGCAGGGACTGCAGGAATACAGACTGTATACAGGCTGATGGGATTAGTTTAGAATAGCATCATGGTCAGTGCAGATGTGGTGGGCCAAAGGGCTAGTCCTGTGCTGTACTGTTCTAAGTTTGGAGAAAGGCATTCACACACTATGACTTGTCACAATCATAAGCCTCTGATGTTGCTTTCTATTTAGAGGCTTGATAAACCATTAAAACTAATACTTGGAATAGAGACCACTGGACAAGGATTAAGAGTGGTAAAGCCGGGTAATTAACCACCCCCACCCCCTTTATACACATTTGGGTGAGATGAAAGACAGCCTGGAGATCTTTGTATAGCTCAGCTACTCATTGCCTCAATGAACTAAGCCATTGAAAGTATTAGTTCTAATATGTGGTCAGTGGCAGAGATCCCCTACTGTATTTCGTAAATAAAGGAGAATAGATCTTATCTCTCATAGATCTCCTCCTTTGCAAAAAGAGCAGTATTTCTTTTTTAGGAAATGCATGTGGTGGTGTTCCCGTAGAATTTTGCATCCTTGAGTTATTAGAACTGATATCACCCTTTCGTTATTCCTGTTCACTCAAAATACGCCAACGTCTGCCTCAAGTAATAAGGCGCATTTATAAATTCTGCACGGTGTTAACCTTTGGTCATTGCTAAATATTTTATCAGAATTAATATCTTTCACGTAGATGGAGATTATTCTCAACCATGAGTAGATTATCTAGATCACGACCCAGTGCTAAAATTGCTCGGAAATGGCCGTCGAAAGAGGGATTCAAAGAGAATGAAATAGCTCCTGCCACTCCTAACATCTCCACCTCCTCCCCTCCCTGCTGTGCGCTGCTCCATTTAATGTTCTGCAGAAAGCCGATCGAAGATCCCTAACCTTCCTTAGAGCTGGCTGCTCATTCATTCATACGTGTTAGGATTCAGACTTCTTTTACCGTTGCCTTTTGTTCCTCGGCCTCCAGCGTAAATGTCCGTTTTGTTTCATTCCGCCGCTGCCTCCTACTTAACTGAGCTGGTGATTTGTAAGTTTCTGCTGCCTGGGAGATTTGCTTTCAGTATGCAGGCTCCACCTCCTCTGCTCAAAACCTACAGCTCACAGCAGCTAGAAGGGCTTAGGAGCCCAGCCATTGGCTTGTTGCACCTCTCTCACTACCAGCCTCCTTTGGACTGAAAGTTCTTCAGTTGTCGTAGCGTCACACTGGCCCAGCAGCTTGACATCTGTGCCGTGTGATGAAAAGTCTGAGTGCTGAGCAGAAAGAGGGACACACACAGAGAACATTATATTTCGCTGTCTAGTAAATGAAACCAAAAACAATCATGACGGACAAGTGAGTAAAGAAGCATTTTGGTTAAAGCTGGAGGTACTGATAGATCTTTAATTCGCATTCGGTTTTGGTGCTGGCTTGATATATTATTGTGTTAAGCATATGTCTAATTGAACCCTGGATTGCCTGCTTTTGTTCTGTCAAAGAAAGTTTCAGTGAAGCCTGGGTAGAATAAGTAGCCAAAACTGTAAAGAATTTATGCATGGAAGCAGGGCACAGTGAAAATTCTACTAAGCTCAAAGGCAACTGTTTCTGTCTATCGTGGCAATAAAATTAATTTGCTACTCTTTTCTGACATGACGTGTATTCCTGTTCTGGCAATGTTTATCTTTTGTTTTATTTTTACTGTTGACACTTAGCACAGGTTTGCTAGATAAGTTCGCTATTTTAGCAACAAAAACAAAGTTGCTGGAAAAGCTCAGCAGGTCTGGCAGCACCTGTGAAGTAAAAAACAGAGTTAACATTCGGGTCCGGTGACCCTTCCTCAGAACTGGTTTTTATTTGCTATTTTAGCAAATCTGGCTTATATATAAACACAAAATCAATAGAAATTTTAAATAATGTATGCTCACATTTTAGCCAATTCTAATTGTTAGCTATTAAAACTTTTCTTTCAAGCGATGTAGATGCCGAAAGGATGTTTGTCCTGGGAGCATCCGGAACTGGGGCGAGTCATTATTGAGATAAGGTGTCTGCTATGTGGGACTGAGATGAGGCAACATTTGTTCACTCAGAGGGTATTGGATCTCTGGGAATTTTTTCTACTCAGAAGGTTGTGGATGATCAGATGAAGAGGGATCTGACTGAATGGTAGGGGAAGGCACAATGGGCTGTATGGCCTGCTCCATCTCCTATTTCTTACATTCTTATATGGGTGTAGACACACAAGTATTCATGAATTGGGAACATACTGGAGATACACTCTGTCACTCACCTTAACTGGACCCGGCTGGAAAGTATTTCACAAAGTTTATTAAGCACCTAATGAACTGTGTGGGTTTTGCTTGACACAATAGTCGGATATAGTGATGTAATCTGTACACATTCATCTCTCAGCTTTTCCTATTGTCACTCAGAAGTGATTGTTACTGGAATATTTCAGGCTGCCTGTAGAGGAATGCAAATGGTCAAATCCCAAATCATATACGTGTGTGGGGTGGCGAAGTTGTACAATATTTTAAGGTTGAACTTGAAGCTGGCACAGTGTGTTTGAAAACAAAAGATGCAGAATTTGCTTTTCTAACAACCTGTTATATATGTAAACGTTCAAATCAGTTTGTTTTAAAGCATGATCATTTTATAATGTGCATGTGAAGTCACTGATCAATGGTTGTGGGCTTGGGATCAGGACTGTATTTTTAATGTGTACAGTGAGACAAGGGTTGAACATGATTTGTACAGAGGTTTGAATAATTAAAGGTTCTGAATGGTAATTTATTGATCAAAATGCAAATCTATATGGGGAAGGCTTCAAAGAGAGGATGGCTTGGATACACAGTCCCAGGAGGGGAACGAAAAGGCATTGAAAGGTAATACTCCCAAGATGATTAAAGACTCAGAGCTTAAACTATGACAGAGAGAAGGAGGCTTAGGGTAATTGAAATGCCTGTAACACAACAGAGAACCCCAATGTATATAAAAATTACAGATGAGGTCTATAAAGGGTATAAGAGGAAAAAGAAAGAGCATGAGAATAGATGAGCAGCTAATATAAAAGGGAATTTAAAAGTCTTAGCTTGTTCTTTAATTGTTTATATGTTTGTAAAAGGAAGAGTTGGTCTCATTAGGGACCAAAAGGGCCATATTGTATAGGTAGAAGACATGGCTGAGGTACTAAATTAACATGTTTTCTACCTGTCTTCACAAGAGGAAGGGGTTCTACCAATGTAATGGTAAAGGAGGATGCAAAAATGATATTAGATAGGATATATATTAAAACATGACGTACTTAAAAGACTGGCAGTCCACAAAGTAGAAAATTCATCCGTTCTGCATGGGATCATTTAGATTATTGAGGAAAGCAAGGGCAGAAACTACTCTGGCCACAGTCCTCCTCAGATACAGGGCTTGTGCCAGAGGACTGGAATGCTGTCCAGGTTACACCATTATGCAAGAACAGGGAGAGGGATAAATCTAGTGTAATTACAGGCCAGTCAGCTTAAGATGAAGAAGCCTTTAGAGGAAGTATTCAACTCAAAATTAATTAGCATTTGGAAAAGTCTGATCTAATAATTATAAAGTTGGCAATGTTTTTATGGACTTTCAAAAGGCATTTAACAAAGCATCATATAATAGGCCTCTTGGCAGAATTAAAGTTCACAAGACTAAAGGGATAGTGGGAGTGTGGATGTAACGTTGGTTAAAAGATAGAACATAGAGAGTACTAGCAACTGAAGGGAAATATACAATGGTTCCCAAGTACTGACACCTCCAGTTTTTTATATATAAATTAATGATCTGGGCTTCAGTATACAGTGCATAATATAAGTTTACAGATGACTCAAATGATAGAAATAGAAATCTAGAGGAGAGTAGAAAGACATCCGGATGACATAGCCAGATTGATGAAATTGGCAGACACAGGGTATAATAAAATGTAATGTGAAGTGGTCCATTTTGGAAGGCAGTCTAAAGAGCAACAATAAAAAAGAAATGATATAATTTTAAGGGAGATGCAAGAACAGAGACATCTGGGGTTTATGTACACAAGCCTTTGAAGCTGTCAGGAGTAAAAACAATACTCATTCCTGAGCTTTAATAATAAACAAATAGAATACAAAAGTAAGAAAAGAATGTTAAATCTTTATCAAACACTGTTAAAGCCTCAAGCTGGAGTATTGTGTACAACACTTGGCACCACATTTTAGGGAGGATGTTAAGGTCATGAGATGATTCTCCTGAATGATACCAGAAATGAGGGATTTCAGGTATGGGGAGAGACTGCAGGGAAATTCTGAGTGATCTCCTCATAGAAGGTTAAGAGAGATTTAATGAGGTTTTTCAAAATCAGGAATGCTTTTGTTGAGGCAAATGAGGAGACATTTTTACCAGTGTTGGCAACCAGAAGATACAGATTTAGGTGGCTGGCAAAAAGAATCAGAGGTGAGCCAAGGAAGCACTGTTTTATATTGGTTTTGCAGTAATGAATGCAGTGCTTGGAAGACATTTGGAAGCAGATTCAGTATTAATATTTAAAAGGGGCTTGGACAAAGAATTTGAAGCAAAATAACTGTTACAGGGCTGTGGGGAAAGGTCAAGAATGTAGGATTAATTGGATATCTTTGCCAAAGAGCCAGCTCCAGTATCATGGATCAAATAGCCTCTTTTCATGCTGTTTTTAATTGTATGATTCTATGAAATTTGAACAGTGACTTAAATGAGAACAGTATCATGGGTGGAATTTTTGCAGCTCCTGAACAATGTAGAAAGTTAAGAAAATAGGGTGATGTCAGCAGTAATGAGAATCATAGAGTCTTAGAGTTATACAGCCTGGAAACAGACCCTTCAGTCCAACTCTTCCATGCCGACCAGATATCCTAAACTGACTCCCATTTGCCAGCATTTGGCCCATACCCCTCTAACCCTTCCAAACTCTTCTTATTCAAGTACCTATCCAGATGCCTTTTAAATGTTGTAATTGTACCAGCCTCCATCATTTTCTCTGGCAGCTCATTCCATACACGTACAACCTTCTCCTGAAAAAGTTGCCCTTTAGGTCCCTTTTAAATCTTTCGCCTCTCACCTTTAAACCTATGCCCGCTAGTTTGGACTCCCCTACCCTGGGAAAAGACCTTAACTATTCACCCTATCCATGCTCCCCCATGACTTTATAAACATCTATAAGGTCACCCCTCAGCCTTTGACGCTCCAGGAAAAATAGCTCCAGCCTATTCAGCTTCACCTTATAGCTCAAACCCCGGCAACATTCTTGTAAATCTTTTGTGAACCCTCTCAATTTTAACAACATCCTTCCTATAGATGGGTGACCAGAAATTCCTGGTGTCGAAAGCAAAATGTATGATTCTCCAACCAAGTGTTGCATAGTGAGATGAGAATTTCGCTAGTGAACAGCCAGAGGCCTATTGATTTGCATCTATTTGCATTCATTAGCATCTCATCGTTACCTAGTTATTTCCCATTCTCCCAGCAGCTGGAGAGAAACTAGATCGTTCCTGACAGGAAAGTCAGAATAGGTACCTGTTGACTGCAGCTCAGCACGTGCTCCTCGGGACCTCCATCTTGGTCAGTAGTCACTAACATTGCAGGACACGCAATGTGCCCTCACCCTCCGCCAGCCAGGGATGTGCACATTAGACATGCACCAGCTTCACTGCATTTGCATGGCACATCTCCGAGCCGCTTATGTTCTCCATTTCAATGTTGCACTTTGGAGCACACTAACACGTCTCTTTGTAATACTGCTGCAAGGACACTTGGTGCGCAGCGACAGGCACCTGGCTCCAGGGCTCCTCCCTTGAATCCTTAGCACTCACTCACTTTACACCAACCTGAATACTGACAGCATCTCTTGCTGTTTTACCTCCTTTAGGGCAGAGTTTAAAGGCTTACAGTCCTGGTGTATTGCTCTGCTGTTTAGTATGGACACACAGCAGCTTGTCAGCAGTGATCAGTAAATTTGATGCACCGTTCTATCAATCTCACCCCTTTATCATGTACCAGCAGCTTATGTGGCTAACACACTGCATGTGCAGCAACCAAATGGCCATGTCTCAAAGTCTTTTACGGAAGTAGTCCTCAGTCAGGCCAAGGAAAGCAGCCTTCAGTCAGCAGATTCTGGCACCGTAAGTCAGCACGGCAAGGGCTATTAGTCTAGGAACTCGGGCAATTTGGGATGGTCAGGGTCACACAGTCCATACTTCTACAGTCTAGAGAGTGGGTCATGGTCAGTCGTGCAGATCCTGTGTAATCAGTCTGGGGATTTAATCGAGTTATTCCTTGTTAGCACTGCTAGTGTTTTTCCCGAGAGTGTATCTTTCTTATCC